TACGCCACTCAAACACACGGGTCCGTGAGAGACACTCTTCCCCATACTGTTGTTGGAGTCTGTGGTGAATTTCAGCGGATGGGACGTTTTCTCCAATGAGGAATTTGATCACAATGCATTTTTCCACGCTCCACAGTACCTTCTGTTCATTCATCACTCTAGCAACTTCCAGACAGGACTGAACAGGTTCTAACCCTAACAGGAGGGAGGGTGAAGGTTGTGGCTTCACTCTCTCAAGGTCACACAGCTGCTGCGCAGTGTGGCTTGTTTACAAAAAAATCAGTCCCGGTGATATTTGAACCACCTAGTAGCTTTCATAAACATTGGGAGAACCCAGGAATTAGATGTGTGTGAAGCTTCAGAGCTCGGAATTCACATTTGACACTAAGCACTGTCTCAGTACAGGACTTCTTATTTTTATAAAGTGACAGAATTTGCCTTGGAATCACATTAGCCCTGTGAAGGTATTCACTTGGACCTCAGTATACAATCACCCAATTTACAAACACCCATACATATGAACAGCATAAGAGATGTTCCGATTTATTTAGTTTTCTGTGCATATTTGTCTGTGGAGGTGTAATATGCTCTTCAATATTCATTTATAAAGTAAACTACTGTGTACATACAATATTACAGGTTAAATGGGCTTTATTTATAAGCTCAGATACTTGGCTGTTACTAATGGCATTGTTTCGTATGGGGGGAAGAGTGTATTTCAGCTTAAGAATGATTCAACTTACAAACGTGACCCATTCATAAGTCAAGGTGCAAGTGTATTGCATTTTGGACTGATATTGTTTCAAAATTATTGTTACTATTATATCCTGTTTGTGTCATGATTGATTTAAAGTGGTCTTTGCCATAATACAAGCACTGTTGGGATAGTTAGTGAATTCAGATGAATGAAGTTGTTTGTTAATTCTGTTATAGCTTTATCACAAAAGGTAGCTTTCCAACTTATTTAGCTAGTTTTAGCATAGGGTAAGTAATACTGTGATGAAGTCAGATAAGTATTTTTCAAATAGAAGTTCCTGTTGATGCAATAAATGGTGTGATAATTTTTTATTATTTTATTGTTGTCAGCACAGTGTGAATCATGCATGGAGGATGTGATGAATTAACCTTTATTATAAGAAATTTCTTACAATGTACAACCATTAGAATTTTAACAGTTCTGTTTAATTGTGAATGCAAGATTTGTCTGCAGGTTGTACCCCCCATTTTATTGTGTCATATGTAAGAATGTGGTAGAACTACTTCCTCTTTAACAGATGGTGCAAATGATTTCTTAATATCTTAAGACTGTGACCGAAAGTGGTCAGATAAAGTTTAGAAACTGTCGCCGAGCACAACGCTACAAGGATAAAGAATCCTAATCTTGCTCCAATTCTTTCATCCATAGAACATAACTGAAATAAGTAAAGGATATGTACTCTGGATAGTGTCTTGACATAGGGTTAAGTGAGCAAGTTTGCTCAAATGGCAAGGCATTTGACTTTAATTTTTGACTAGCCTGGTTAAAATTTTGGCTAACAACAGCTATCCTGACTGAGCTTTTTAATATTTTTCCTTGGTCTCTTGGGGAAAATATTGGGATAATTCTTAAAATTAAGTTGCAACCAAATCCTTTCTATTTCATTTTCCATTATTAATCATTTGATGCTCTATAGTTTCAGCTTCTGATAGTGTTATTAAATGAACTGTACTGCTGATACCCTACTTAAACCATGAATAAAATAGAAAACTAACATAGATTTGATATATAAATCAGAATGCAGAGTTGTAGTAGGAATCCTGTTTGCTAAATTATTTTGCCAACAGGTTGCTATAAGCAGTAGGGTTCCTTTATGATTTCTGAATCATAGTTATATTAGATGGCCAGTCACAGTAGCTGAGTGGCCTAAGGCATGTACTATCTTCGCTTGCTTGGAAACCGGGATCGTGGGTTCGAATCCCACTCAGGGCATGGATGTTTAGTTTGTGTGTGTGCGTTTTTCTGTGTTTGTGTATGGGTAGAGGCCTTGTGACAGGCTGATTTAGAAAAACCGAAGTGAACGGAGAAGTTTAAGGAGGTAGGCCTAGGCCCACTGAAGCTGTAGTGCCAAGGAAAAAAAAAAGTTATATGAGATAGTTATTGGTTTATTAGAAAGCAATATCCGATTGGTAATGGACTAATCTGTTATAGGCCAACTTCTCGAGCCTCAGGAGGAAACAACATGAACAACAATGGTGGGTTGCAAGTTGGCATAGCAGATGATCAAGCAAAAGACTTTGACTTTGAGAAGACTGAGATGAAGTATGATTCAACGGGGATGTTCCACTGGGGGCCTGCTAAAAGCCTTGAAGAGTGCATTCTGGTGAGATTGTGATTCGGTGATGTTTTGTAAGAAAAGTGTTTCTTTCTTAATTATTTTTTTAATGATTTATCACTGACTGTCTCTTTGTAGTGATCAGCACCATGGCTTCAATATATGGGAACTCCTGGATGTGTTCTTTGTAGCCAGTTCTGTACCATCCATATATCTAAATTTGTCATTTATTTCATATAATATATTTCTGTCTCCAGTGCAACTTATTATTAGTCATCCTCCTTCCTCGCAGCATGCTACAGCCATATACAACAATCAAGTGTCTTCTGTCATGCCAAAATTGTTGCACTATATAGTATGTCAAAATTTAATATGGCATGTGAACATGATATTTCTTAATGAAAATAAATTGACCTTAAATAAATTAATTAAAACTAGTTAAAATTAATTGATATCCCAAAGTTATCCTTGTGGTCATCATCCATTCTTTTAATTGATATTTGTTTGAGGTCTCTTGTTTGGGATTCTTCTGTGCAGCATTCACTTTGCTGTATATATGCTATGTGTATTATTGTGTAGTTCTTAAAGATTTTGATGTAGTGTTATCAGTTCCGTTATGTATGCCCCCGTGCATGTAGGTTCTTCAATTGGTCTCTGTATGTAGACATTATATTCACTCATCACTCACTCACTCACTCACTCACTCACTCACTCATGGAACTGAGCCCTTCTTGAGAAGCCACCAATTCTGCAGCTACTCAAGAACTTCCCAGCATTTTATGGAGCCCGAAGGTTCGTTACTGTGTTCACCAGAGCCCCTCACTGATCCCTATTCTGAGCCAGATCAATCCAATCCATACCATACCATGCCATCCTATCTCTCTCAGATCCATTTTAATATTGTCTACCCACCTACTCCTTGGTCTTCCCAGTGGTCTCTTTCCTTCTGGCTTTCCCACCAATATCCTGTACACATTCGTCTCCCACATTGTGCTACATGCCCTGCCCACCTCATCCTCCTTGACTTGATCATTCTAATTATACTTGGAGAAGAATACAAGTTATGAAGCTCCTCATGTACTTTTCTTCAACAGATACAAAATTACATATTTTATAATATTTACATACATAGACCAATGAAAAAAACAATTACACAGGCAGTGTTATCAGTTTCGTTATGTATGCCACTTTTTCAGTATGTTTCTCACGCATGATACATCACCAGGGTCAGTTTGTCCTAATTTGTTTAAAGTTTGAATGCTGGCTCCTTATCACAGAGGCTTGTAGTCAGTCCCTAGTGACTTTATATGAGATTGTTCGTGGCAATGGAGCAGGTTTTTCTCAAGTTTCTTTTTTTAAGTTTTCTCCTCTTGCAGTTGGTTGAGGGGCTATGCTACAAGCCAGAAGGTTGCGGGTTCGAGTCCCAATGGGGTCATTGGATTTTCTTTCAATTGACATAATCCTTCCAGCCACACTATGGCCCTGGGGTCGACTCAGCCTCTAACAGAAATGAGTACCAGGAATTAATTTTCCTGGGGAGTAAAGCGCGGCCGGCGCGTAAGGCTGACAACCTTACCACCATCTATGAGCTGACTGTCTAGATAATGTGGGGCCCTCAACATCTCACAACCCTATGGGCCTTCATGGCCTGTTACAGGGATATCTTTACTTTACTCCTCATTTCATCATTGTTGCATATCCATCTGTGATTGCCCTTTGTGGCCTCACCAGACAGCACATTATCACATCTTTGATCACTTAGTTATGGGAGGGCCTTCATTTCTGACCTGGCACTTGGCTGATAGCATAGTAAGCAAGTGTTCTCATTTTCTTTTTGTTTTTTACTAATTAATTCATTTAATTGTTGGACTTTGAAACATCAGACAGGAACATAACTTCCACGGATGTTGGTGTCAGTCCAACAAGAATTTCCTTTCAGGTTCATTTACTTGTATGTATGACAAATCACCAGTACCGTTTTGTGTTATCTTTTTAAAATTTAGAGATTATGAGTATTATTGAACTTTGACACTGGACCAGAATATGATTCCTGCAAATAATCTGAAAGAGTTTTATGAAAATTGAGAATTGTTATGTGCACTGAATTTACAAGTGATTGGGCTGAAAGCAGCCATCATTCCTTTTCAATATGTTGTCCATGGATTACCCTGAGGACTGAAGGAAACTACGACAAATTTGTCACAACAGCTAACTTATGGGCTGGGGTACAAACCATGTGCTTCACATCTTCAGTTCATTCTTGTTAGTGCTGGCTAATGTGACCAGTACATGAAAGTGAAAGTGATGAATTTGTTACCTCACAGTTCTGCAGATTAGCTTAGAAGTGGTCCCTACAGATCACTACCATTTCACCTGCTGCAAAAGGTATGATGGTCTCTGTTCTAACTGTAAAATAACATTGTAAATTTAGGGATGGTATCTATGTCCATTTATGTTTCAATGCAGGATCGGAATCAGGCGGCAATGACAGTGCTGAACGGTCATGTGGTGGTGTGCCTGTTTGCGGATCCAGATTCTCCCCTCATAGGTCTACGGAATCTGGTGATGCCTCTACGAGCTTCCAACTTTCACTATCATGAACTGAAACATGTGGTGATAGTAGGCTCTGTGGATTACATCCGTCGAGAGTGGAAGATGCTGCAGAACCTTCCTAAGATCTCAGTCCTCAATGTGAGTACTGGGGATTTAGAAAAACCCTGCCCAAGGTTAATCACAGTTCAGTAGAAACTTGCCCATCAGCTGGTCACTAACAAAATTTATTGTCTCCAGGATTTAAATCAGCATATAATATTGGAAGAAAATTCAAGCCCCAAACATCTGGCAGGAAAACAGTGGTGACCCAGCTTCTTCAGTCTCCAAGAATTCCTATTTATTTATTTATTTANAACACAAAATACCCTGGTATCCTCAATCTCGTTCCTGTAAGAAAAAAATACAGAGTAGGGCAGTAGGCGTTCCTATAACATTACTAATATTAAAATCTACAAGTTAATTATTCTTGAAATATATGTTCACAAGTGATCAGAACTAGGATTGTGTGTACAGTATTTAAATTTTAAGTCATTACAGGAGACACAAAGTGGGTAATGGCTCCAGTTAGACAGTGAAGTGCAGCATACTGTGTGTGTGTGTGTCACTGAGTTTATGAACGGAATACGGAATTGTGCAGATTATTTCTAAAATTATAGGATTTGAGGTTCTCTTCAGTGGTTATCTTCTGAGATATGATGCTGTGTGCTCCATTGAAAGTTAACTGATTTGCAAAGCCTTGTTTGCTGCCTGCTTCATGCTGGTCTCATGCTTGGTTTACTCTTCATCCCTGAAGATGGATGCAACATGTTCCTCTGAAACTTGAGTTTATTTTCAGTGGACTACACAGTGTTGTATCCCAGGAGTTGGAACTCTTTGTTATTTCATTTTTCATTTCATTTCATTTTTATTATCATTCAACAATCCATACATACAGGTATTACAACCATTTGGATAAGGAAATTGTCAGATTCTCGTGCATATCTTTACAGAATACACTGTACCACCCTAATATAAGGGGTTTGTCATCTGAATAATATTATCTAGATCTAATTACCATTAATTTCATTGTCTTTATGCAAAATACAACAAATTAATCAGCTACATATTACATTTACACACTTGATGAATCAAAAGACATAAGTTCATCTACAGAATAAAAGGAATGTCTCAGCAAAAAAAGATTTTAATTCCTTTTTAAATGAGTTAAAATTTTTCCATTGTTTTATTTGATTGGGGACCTTATTATACAAACTAATTCCCATATTTATCACACTCCTCTTAAAAAGAGCTGTATTACAGTGCTGTACATGAAAATTTAATTTTTTTCATGTGTTATAATTATGAATGTCTGAATTTATTGCCATAAAAGCCTTGTATTTTTTGATAAAGCATGTCACCTCCAATATATACAGAGAAGGCAATGTTAAAACATAGTAATCTTTAAAAATTTGTCTACATGACGTGCGACTACTAATACCACTAATCACTCAAAGAACCCGCTTTTGCAATTTAAAATGCTTTTACTTTCCCCATCCCACCCCACAATAAGATACCATTTCTCATACATGACTCAAAATTCGAAAAATAAATGATTTTTATCATATATGGACTCATTATTTCTTTTAATATTTTCACCATATAAATTACTTTGCATAGCTTTGCTTTTAGAAATTGAGCATGAGCACACCATTTTAGGGTTTCTGTCATGTGAATTCCAAGGAATCTCAATTCTGACTGATATACCATTTCTGTATTATTAAAAACTATTTGTGGTCTTAACGGATCACTCCGCTGTTTTGAATGAAATGACATGGCAGATGTCTTTTTAGTATGTATTACAAGGTTATATTTTTGAAACCATATTTCTTATTCTTTCACAACAGTCATTATTTTATATTGAAGGTCAAGTTCATCTTTTCCAGTAATTAACAAATTGGTATCATCTGCATATAAAACCAGCTTTGCTGCTTGAACATTTTCTGTAAGATCATTAATGTTAATAAAAATAAAAGCGGCCCCAACACATCCCTGTGGTACACCATACTTCACTTTCCTACATGATGAATTATAACTGGTTTTGACACTGCAGTCAGTGTTTTTTGTTTCTACATATTGGATTCTGTTTGACAGGTAAGACCTGAACCACATATTTGGCACACCTTTTATGCCATATGAGTCTAGTTTCTCTAAAAGTATATCATGGTCTATTACATCATATGCCTTTGATAAACCAAAAAATAATCCTATGGCATATAGGCCGTTATCTAAGGCCTCCTGTATACTTTCAATAAAAGACTGCCTTGCTGTGTCAGTTGATTTATTCTTTCTGAAGCCATTTTGGGCCTCTGTTAATATATTATTTTGAATTAAAAACGGCATTAGCCTATTATACATCAGTTTTTCTAATATTTTGGAAAATGCCGATAAAATGGATATCGGTCTATAGTTCTTAATATCATGATATTCCCCTTTTTTATGCAGAGGTATCACTTTAGCTAATTTTAATCTATCTGGGAAGGTGCCTGCGCTCAAAGAGGCATTGAAAATATGAGCCAGTGGTCTTTTTACATAATTTATACATTTTTTAACAAGATAGTCTGGTATCTCGTCATATCCTGCAGATACCTTTTAGACTATTTGTTACACACTCTATTTCATATTCAGTGACTGGATGGAAAAATATGGTATTAGGGCAGCAGTTTATCCTTTGTTTCTGCCACTGTGGGTTTTTGTTATTATTATTGTTTTGACTTAAAAGGTCATCAACTATTTCAACAAAGAAATTATTTAACATATCTGCCACACTTTGCGGATGTGATATTATTTTTGTACCGCTAAACAGTTGGATTTTCTTATCACCCTTACATGACTTACCAACTTCATTTTTTATTAAATGCCACATAGCTTTCATTTTATTTTGAGACCTTGAAACATACTTATCATTTGCTATTTTTTTTTTGCTTATTTCATAACACTCTTATAAATTTTTTTTATATCTGGTGATATATTCCAGCATGTCCCTAGGCAGATTATGCTCTTTTTAAAACCCATTTAACAGTCTCATCCTTTTACCAGAATTTCTTATGCCTTGGGTAATCCATTTGTTTTTCCTTGTCATTTTCATATAAACAGTCTTTTTTGGAAATGCTATATTATAATAATAAAGGATCGTGTCCATAAAATCATTAAAACTAGCACTTGCATCTGAGTTTGAAAAACTCTCCTGCCATAGCTCCTTCTGCAATAAATAATTAAACTCCTGGATACCCTCTTTAGTAAACTGTCTTTTTCTGCTCATTCTAGGACCCTTCTCTCATCTATTTACATTAAACTTTAGTGTTTGTGCCAAATGGTCCGAATAACCCAAGTCCAATACTGATGATGTGCATTCCAAAACTTGCTTGTTTGTTACTATGACATCTATCTGTGTTATGGAATTCTTTGCGACCCTGGTTGGGGGTGTAATTATGTTGGCCAAATTATACAACCAAAGCAAATTTTTTAGTTCTCATACTCTTACAGTGTCATCTAAGAAGTTTATGTTCCAGGCACCACATAAAATTAGTTTCTTCTTTTTCAACTGCACATTTTGGATTACAACTTCCAAATTTTTTAGGAACATGTAAAAGTCACCATCTGGTGACCTATAAATACACAAAACAACTATTTTGTCCTTCAACAATTCCACTATGGACATTTCAAAATCTTTTTCCTTACCTAATTTTTGCAAGTAGAGTAGTTCTGTAGTTTGTACATACTCTTTTACATATATACATGAACCACCATGTTCATAACTAGTTCTACTAAACTTACTTACTAGTTTAAAATGCTCAATATTTGTTAATTCTAACTGATCCTACTTTAGCCAATGCTCAGTAAAACATAATATATCAACATTTTTTTAGGTCAGATTGTAATAAAACAGTTAGTTCCAGTATTTTATTTTTTAAGCTCTGCACATTATGATGGAGGATTTGTATATTATCTGCCTTTATATGAGTCATGTTTTTATTTTGCTGTATCCCATTCATAAAAAATTATCCCTTCTTTTAGAGGGTGGTTTTCAGAGTCTTCGTGATGNTCATGATGGCTATGTAGTGCTTTTCTATGAATCCAAATATTGGATGCTAACAAAGAAGAATTTAGAAGAATGGGGCAACAGACCTGTGATTCTTCATAGATGTCACATGATACAGATGGGTCATCGTAAATATAATCAATATTGGAGAGGAACTGGAAATAACAGATAACCAGTGTTACAGTATAAAACTCCCCCGCCCCCCCCCCAAAAAAACTTTAAGAACGTATAGAAAGAATGCCTGAAAATCAAATCTACAAGCTCCTCTGTTAATACAAACAGAAGGGTGAAGATGCCAGAGACATGGGACGAGAAGGTAGTAGGAACAGTTTTATAATTCTCTCAAAATTTATTTTTTGTGGTGGTGGTGAATATGGAGTTCTTCAACAAAGGCATCCAGTGGCTTGTTAACACTTGCCTATGGTGGCTGAATCTGATAGGTCTCTGATGATCACACATTTCAGGTTTCTGTTGAACCTCCCTTAGATGTACCAGTAAAATAAACCTTCCACTGGTAACACACGCAAATTCCTTAATAAAATGTTCATTTGTTACATCTCATTTTCTGCAATAAGAGAACTTTTCATGAATTGAATATGCAGTTTCTTGGGGTTGAAATCAAAATTATGATTTTGTACATAGTTGGATAAGTTGAGGAATGAGTGTTGAGTGGTCTTAAACAGAATTTAATTTTTGTCTTATACCTCAGCTCATTTTAATTTTCTGAACATTTCTGGAAACATTCTGTTGAACGATATTACTTGTATTTTAGATAGTGTCAAACCAGATTGTGTTGTCTTTCAGGAAAGTACTTTCTTAGCTTCCTCAAGTAGAACCTTATTTGGGGAAACTTAACTGATCTCACTTAAGATAGACTTCTTAAGGAAAAATATGAATATACATTGCAGACAAGAAAATAATTCCTGATAAATGTGTTGTAAAATGTGCAGTATGTGAATATGGTCAACTTATTACAAAAATTATGAAGATCTTGGAATAGTCGTGGTATGGTCTCAGCAGTCTAACTAATAGAAATAGAAATTAAATAATTATTAAACATCCACTGACTATTTATTTAGATAAAAAAATTTATAGGTCAGCTTAAGTTTATTATTTTTATCAACTAAAGCATAGAGAGTTAATTTACAGTGTTACATGTAGTATTATAACTTGTTCTTTGCATGCAAAGCATAATTTTTTTCTCAGTTATAAACAATAGTGTTCATATTTTTCAGGGCTCACCATTGAGTCGGGCAGATCTAAGGGCTGTGAATGTCAATCTGTGTGATATGTGTGTCATACTCTCAGCAAAGGTCCCAAGTAATGATGATCCAACGCTAGCAGATAAGGAAGCCATCCTTGCATCGCTTAATATCAAAGCAATGACCTTTGATGACACCATTGGAGTTCTTAGCCAAAGTCAGTATCACAGTCCTAACTCCAAAATATGCTTTGTATTAATACAGTAGTTTTTTTTTGTTGCTAGTGGGGTGGGACTAAGTCCCTTGTACTGCGGCCACTTCTGGCCTATTGTACCAGCCCAAGATGATAGGGGAGGGTGATTGTGGAGCAATTGGTGCAATGAAGATTGGCAGGGGAAACCGAAGTACTCAGAGAAAACCTGCCCCAGCGCCACTTTATCCACCACAAATCCCACTTGACCAGACCCAGGATTGAACCCAGGCTGCCATGGTGGGAAGCCAGCAACTAACTGCTTGAGCTATGGTGCAGCCCAATACAGTAGTTTACTTGACTTACAAAGCAGACCAGTTCTACAATCTGCATTTTCTGGTAAAATTGATAATGGATAAATGACAATAATTTAACACAAAGGACTTACTTAATATTATGAGATATAACAGTTCCATTCTTTTCAAATGCATAATAGGGAGGTTGTATTGTCTACCTCCCAGCTTATTTGGCCAGGAGTTGAGCTGTATATTTCATCACCCAAAGCACTTATTTAATTTTGATGTTATTTAAAATAAGAAATGTACACTAAAAGTGATGTAGTTCTCATTTTGATCTACTTTAGTTCACTGTATCCCTTACTTTACTTGAAACTTGAATCACAGTTCATCACATTTTTTTAAAAAGGGCTCATCCATTAGAAAGTGCATACATTAGAAATGAACTATGTACTCACACCAGTAACTTCTGTTTAAAACACTTTCAATTTGATGTATGATTAATGATATACACAAAAACACTGTCTGCATTCATACTTTTTTGTAATACTGGTTCTGATGCTAGGCTTTGTCAACAACACAATTTATAAGTGTGCCATATAATATTTCACCTGTTGACTGGTTCTATAAAGACATGTAAAAGATAAGGTAAAGTTGCCCCTGTGCTTAACTAATTAAGCACTATGCCACAAAGGAATGTGGTGGAGTTGATGTATAGATTCACATTTTCTTGACCTTGGCACTAGCTGGAGGTGAGTGGTCAGCTTCACACCTCAGCCACTTTACCCCTGGGGAAAGAGCCCCTGGTATGCTGTGGATAGGCGGTTGGGTGGACCCCAGAGCCAGTCTGGATGATGTGGAGAAGAGGAAATTTTTACCCGACTGGGACTCGAACTCAATCCCCTCAGTCATCCAGCCCATAGCCAGTCACTATATGGGCTGCACTACACAGCTACTCAGGAAGTCTGTTCCCTGTATTTCTTCTTTTCACTACACTTCGACTTAAGCTCCCATTGTTGTGTGCACAGTGTCTATCTTGTATTCAAATGCACTAAAACTGCTGCACATGCACACAGTAAAACTTTGACAATTCCGCTCTCATATAGTGGAAACCCTACCGTTCTGGCTCTATATTTTCTCAATAAAAATGTTTAAAATATCCGTACTCATTCTCGGATATCCTGTGTGTTACATTGCAGTAGTGTTTTCCCCTCTTCAGATGCAAGTTAATATTCTCACAGTTGTGGCGCTGTGTCCCAGATTGTTTTTATCCGTAGAAGCAGACGGGACGCCTTTGGAAGGATATTTTCTTCTTGTTCAGTTTGATATTCCTGGGAAATAATAAATTTTTTACATTGCAGAAGCCATGAGTGTCAAAGATGGTGATGACTCTGAGATCAGTTTTCTTCAAAGGAACAACACAGTGGACAGTAAATTCGTGAACTTCATGAACTCATTTTTTCCTGGGAGGGATCAGGAATTTTTCTTGGCTCTGCTGCATCCAGACCAACTCCTGTCCAGCATCCTGTCCAGTGTGGTGTCAAGGATGAGAATGGTGAAGCTATACCTCCACTCCCCCATACTTCTTCAGGTTGCGATGCTTAATTAATTAAGCCTAGGGACAACTTTCCTTTACTTTAGTCCTTGTACATGTTATGTGCCCAGCCCTGCAATTTCTTGGTCTAATAACTTTAACACTTAGCGAAATTTGACCCATAACACTCTATAAAGACATTCATCATCAAGATGACAGGTCCACAGTCTCTTCCAAAACAGTTCCTCCACTTGATGCGATCTAGAGCTTTCTCCTTCAAATGATAATATCCTCTTCTGTCCCCAAGATCATCCAGCATCTTCTTACGTCTTCTTCCTCGTCTTCTGGTCACTTCTATCCGCCCCTCTATCTTTCCTTCAATATCTTCTTTTAGAAGGCAGTTACCGCGTAAGATATGACCAATTCAATTAGCCTTCTGTTTTCTTATTTCGTGTAGGATATTCCTCTGCTCACTGACTCTAATTAACACTTCTTCATTTCTCACATAATCGGTCCAACTGATCTTCTCCATCCTTCTCCAACACCACATTTCAAAGCTTTCCAGGTGTTTCTGATCTACTGCCCTAAGTGTCCAAGTTTAAGCCCCATACAAAGCGATGCTCCAAACGTAGCATTTCACTAGTTTCTGTCTCAAATTTAAGTCCAATTTGCTGGTAAAAATATTCTTCTTCTTGCTAAATGCAGCTTTTGCCATGACAATCTTAGATTTAATTTCACACGTACACCTTCCATCATCTGTTAAAACATTTCACATTCTCCAGTTGTTTCTGGTCTATCTTTATTGTGACTGGGGTTGGTTGTCTCGAAATTTTCATTACTTTTGTTTTTTCCACATTCATTTCCATGCCATAGCACCTTCCAATTTCAATTAGTGTATCAATCATACCCTGTAGCACAGTTTCTTTCTTAGCCATTAACACAAGGTCATCTGCATATTTCACAGATTGAATAATTTGCCCTCCTAATTTGAAGTCTCCAAGCCCATCCAAAGCTTCTTTGGTAAGGAATTCGCTGTACAAGTTGAACAAAATTGGTGATAAACAGCATCCTTGTCAAACTCCTCTTCCAATCTTCACACTTCTTGTCTCCCCTCTGTCGAGTCACACTTTAACTTTCTGATCCATGTACAGTTTACTAACCAATTTTTTCTCTCTCCAATCGATACCTGTTTCCTTTAGGATCTGCATTAATTTGGTCCAATTTACAGGGTCAAATGCCTTCTGCCAGTCTATAAAGCAAGCACACAGTTCTGCATCTATCTCCATGTACTTACAATAAATGAGCAGCAAAACCAATGAGGGATTCAAAGTTAAGAGAATGTAATAAGGAAAACCGTGATTTTAATTAGGAATGTACAACTTGTAATAAATGATGTGTTAAAATTCTGTTCCCATAAGCTACTCATAATAAAAAGTGAACTCAAATAGAGGTAGACTGAAGTTCCTATGTTAAGGGGTTTGTTGCTGACTAGAAATTCTCAAGTGTTGATAGTTTCTTCATGACAGAAATCCATCACAAGATGCAAAGGTTTCATTGATGAAAATTGTTACAGTTGGTCCAAATGAACCACGTGTTCCTAAAAATCGTTGGAAATATAATATAAAAGAGTATAATAAAATGTTTGTGCTATGATAGTAATTCTAAAGCTGGAAAACTTATTTCAAATGCCATTACAGTCCTTCCCCTAGGGAATCTGATACTCTTGGAATTGAAAGCATCTGTCTTGATACATAAATTAGAAACCATGAGTACATAAAACAAAATACAGTGAGTGACAAAACTGGATACAATTATAAAACCGCAGAAGCTTGAAATGTGTGTTTGGTGAACCTGCATTAGGAAGGAGATTGCTCTTACATTTGCCACTATATACAAACATATTGTCATGAATTAGAGTGGTGGGGTTTGAATTGGTAATGGGATTTATTGACTACTTACAGATCATAACTACAAGTAACTGTAGTGCTTTCGCTAATTCACACTCACTCAATACAGTTCATTACAGCACATACTGAGTCTTATTAGTCTGCTGTGTTGTCACCAGTCATTGCCTGGTAACGGCTTTGAACAATAGATGTTTCTCTTGCTCTGGGTTCCTGAACTATCCTTATGCCTCAACTACCAGCTTCTAACAGCAACAGCTCACAAGGACTGTACTGCAGTTCTCTGACTGCACACTAATTCACCAACCAACCCCTTACTTCCCTGCACTGCACTGCACTCATTCTCACTAATTATCCTGCTTATAACATCTCAGCTCAGACCATAGAAAACACCGTTCCACTGTTGCTGTTCAATTGTTGCTTGTTAGGAATCTGTTGCCTACCAGTGAGCACTGTTTACAGAGTCATTACTCAGTAACAGATGTACATGCTACAATATAAAACTTCTATGTGTATGTTCTTATAAATCTGAAGCATTCATATTTCATGTCTCATTTTTAATAATCTGAAAACATTTTTGGGGTGTTTTTATTTAGATTTGTTTGTCTTGTTCCCAGCTGCTGCAGGAGAAGAGGACACTCTGTCACCAGTTGGAAGTCCTATTGTACTGCAGCGTAGAGGTTCAGTGTATGGAGCCAATGTGCCTATGATCACAGGTGTGCCAACTTTATAGCTTAGAACTTGTAGGAAGAATTCTGTTATGCACTTTCTGTGGGTAAGAGACTGCCTGATGGAGGTGTATCAACCAATATTATTAAAGAAGTTGGTGGAGAGAGTTCCTCAGGGCATGTAGCAAGGAAGGGGGAATGCAAGGAATGCATAGAAGATTTTGGTGGGGAAACAGCTTGTAAAATGGCCATATGAAAGAGAAATAATATGACTGGAGAACAACATTAGCATTTGGTAGGTCAGCAAGTTATAAGGGTGTGCAGGTGGATGGAATTATCCGAGGGTCATGTCTAATGTATTAGACTACACTATGAAGACATGAGATGCAGTGGATGTATAGATCCATGCATTGTTGGCCTTGGCTGTAGTCGGAGGTGAGTGATCAGCCTGACGTCCCGGTCACTTTACCCCTAGTGGAAGAGACTCTGGTACCCACTGGATAGGAGGCTAGGTGGACCACTTAACCAATCTGGATGACATAGAGAGGAGAAAAATCTTGCCCCTACCAGGACTCGAAATCTGACTTCTCAGCCGTCCAGTCCATGGCCAGTCACTATACAGACTATGCTATCCTAGCTCATTCTGCTACCAGTATGTTGGTATATTAAGACAAACTGTGATGCTATGTGTGTTTTCTTTTTCCAGAGCTGGTGAATGACAGCAATGTTCAGTTCCTGGATCAAGATGATGATGATGACCCAGATACGGAACTGTATCTGACTCAGCCTTTTGCCTGTGGTACAGCATTTGCTGTCAGTGTGCTGGACTCACTCATGTCCACAGTAAGTCATTGCTCACAGAGGAAATCTCTCTTTGCACCTTTATTTTCCACTGTGGAATTGTGAACCATTTTTATTTTATTTTCATGAAGTAACTCTGGACTTGTGTTATGTTTCTGGCACTCTTTCAAAGTTAATTTTTTATCTTCTCTTCATTGTTCCTTTATATTCCACTCTAAAGATCTTTTTAAATGAGATACATTAGACATACATGCATATTAACAGAAAAACAATAGACATATAATAATCTAATATTTTGTCACGTGATGGAGTGACTGTAGATGTTGTTTGGATTGGTAATTGCATTTATTGAACAGCTAGAGATTTAACTAAAAGTAACTGTAGCACTGATGCTAATTCACACACTCTGCATTTCACTACAACATGTACTAAGTCTCCTCAGTCTGCTGTGTCTTCACCAGTCGCTCCTATGTAATGGCTTCCAAGGCTGTAGGTTCCCCAACTTCCGTGTTCACGTCCTTACAGGCCAGTGACTTTCTTACAACTAACTAACCTCTAGACTTGTACTGCTTTTAACACCCTGGCACAGACCACACAAAAACACCTCTCCCAATGGCTCTTCTGGTGTTACATCACGTGACTGTCACACGGAGTGTGTATAGAACACCACTTCCCAGTGAATCAGTTGGTGCATAATAAGAATCTGTTGCTTACCAGTAGGCATTGTTTACAGAGTCGTTACTTAGCAATGGGTCTAGATGCTACAGTATATTAAATATATGGGCATGGGCATGTGTGTAAACATTTTGTAAATGTACGAAAACAGAGACAATATTTCTAATGATGCTTTGTTGATGAAAGGTGTTTTCTTATTGGTAAAACTATGTGAGGAATAGGCATTTCTGTAAGTGGATGTGCATTAAACTTTTATGAGATTTCATGTTCTCATGGCAGCAGCTATGAAGAATAATGCCTTCTGGGATGTAAGACAGAGTAGATGTTGAAGAAAGCAGTCTTCTGGGATTTGGCACCGTGTATATGTGGTGTTAACCGACGTTTCGGAGGAACGTATCGCCCCCATCTTCAGGGTAGAAGAAAAAGTATAAGAAATCTGCAAGCGACAACACCGTGAGAAACGGTTTTACCGTTTACGTTCCTCCGAAACGTCGGTTAACACCACATATACACGGTGCCAAATCCCAGAAGACTGCTTTCTTCATAGTCACCGCCGTGAAAGCCTCAAATCTTACAGAGTAGATGTTTACTGACATTTTGGACAAATAAGCTTCCTCCAGCTTCAGGGATGAGGAGTTAGCCAAGCATACAAGATAAAAGCCTCAACATGACTTGGACTTGGCACTTCACTTACCTTTCTGTCCTGAAGGTGGAGTCACCACAGTGCTCCAGACTTTCCTCATATATCTACTGGACCACATAACATTACATTCCGAAAGATAATATTCCTCATTTATTATATTTATGAGATTTGAGGATTTCATGGCAGTATAAATTTTGACTGTGGTTTTCATGGTGTGACACTAGTAATCTCATTAGGCAGGTGCCATTTTATATAAATCTGCAGTATCCCTGAAGATATAGGCAGCAATTATCTCTGAATCATTGATAATCACCTATGAGACTACATAGTATGATAACCCAAAAGATCAGAATGTAAACGCATTACATTTGTGAAGTAACCTGACTGTGTTGAGATCATGACTTTCATGAGTGTTTTTTTCATGTGTTTTTAGACATATTTTAATCAGAATGCACTGACACTGATCCGTTCTTTAATCACCGGTGGAGCAACACCTGAGTTGGAGTTGATTTTGGCAGAAGGGGCTGGACTCCGAGGGGGTTACAGGTATGTTCTGTTAGAGTGTAATTTCACCTATAAGTAAAGCTTAAGTTTTAATATGTGTTAGATTATGAAATCCATCTAACTATGAAGTGATATTCATCTTAAAATATTCATCATCATACTGTGTTTGTCATTTCTTTAATTTAAAAGTAAACCACAATCATCACCATAACTGCCATGCTGTTGCCACCGCCACCACGACCACAACCACCACCACCACCGCATGTGCTAAGCTACTTTCTGGGTGACCCTCGTATTTTATTCAAGGGTTCAGATATAAAATATTAATTATATTAATCAGAATTTGAAAATCTGTCATTAAAAGTTCTGAAGTATGTGGAATGTTTGCAACATCTGTGATCAGAACTGTATGTTGGAAATGAGACAGAAAGTAAAAAGTGTTCTGAAACTTGCTTGTATTACTTTTTTGTTTTAGAACACTGACTATAGTACCATATTTCTGAGCCACCATACTTAAAAAATCTTGTTGTTATGTTGACAGCACTGCGGATAGCTTGTCAAATCGTGACCGGTGTCGAGTGGGACAGATCTCGCTATATGATGGCCCACTGGCACAGTTTGGTGAGGCAGGAAAATATGGAGACTTGTTTGTTGCAGCCCTGAAGTCTTATGGCATGCTGTGCATAGGTCTTTATAGGTAATTACCTGCTCTAGTTTGCTGTAGCTTACATACTTCAAGCAACACAAAGGTCCAGCAGGATCAGAATAGAAGTCTGAAAATCTGTTGTAGATCCTGCCTGTACAATATTGTCATTTACTGCACTTTGATTGAATTACTGCTGTAATGTCCACCGAAATCTTCATTTTTCTCAAAATTCATTTATGAATTTGACAAGCCTTGGAGAATTTGTCTATATTTATGAAATGAACTAGGATTCTCCATTGTCCTAAATGTACATTATTAGCATAAGAAAACACAACCTAACAAAATACATAGCACACAAGGAACAAACAAAATTGAATTCTTGAATCCAACTATTTAAAATTACCCTATATTCTTGATTATCTGTATGCAGATTATCCAGTTCCACTTATCCATCTGTTTGTCTCTCTATACATGAAACAAATTAAGACCCACTGGATGGATTGTAATGAAATTTGATATTAGAGAAATTTATGAACCATGTTGAGCCATTCAATTTTCATTTCAATTGGACAGCTTTAACACCCATTTAACATGAAGGCATATATTAATTTCTGAACATATCTTGAGTGTAAATCATGAAATAGTTACTGTGAAAATTGTTCTGAACAAATTATATAGAGAAAATCGAGACAAATATTACACACTGAGTACACTTCACCCTAAATCATATGGATTTGATATAAACAAGCCAAACACTATGCATACATTTAAGAAATTTTGTACTTGGCAGTCTTCAAGGTCTTCTGGTCATGAAATTATGTATGATAATAGGTCTTCAATATATATATATATATATATATATAATTTGTTCAGTTAGTTTTGTTGTGGAATATAAAGTTGCATTCATATTAAGCCATAAATTTGATAACAGTAACTATTCAAAAGAACACCTAGCTGTATGTGACATGATAATGCTATTGTAGCAGAACATGGAGGCAATTAATTAAATATCATTAAATTTTGTTTATTTACTGTATTCATATATTTCATTTCAATTTATTTGATGTGTATGTTTATGTAACTCAGCAAGTGGGTTAACTTATCACAGCGTTTTGTCCATTCATTGCTTACTTTGGCCATACACCCTCAGTTTGATTGGTTGGTTTTCAAGCTGTTTTACTGTTGCTTCATCAGAATTTAAAGTTGTCCTTATTCTGGCTTATTTGATTCATTTGGATACAGCAATTTCATGAAGTGATAAATTTGGCCATTCATCCAGAAACAGTATGGACGGTTTCCAGGTGCCTATTGATGCAAATGCCATTGTTGAGTTGTATTCTCATGTATGTTCTATGTGGCTATTTACCTCACATGTATCCCCTATAAGAGTAATCAAGTGGCGTCTCCATTGGCATTCCCACAGACTTGTTCCAATTGACAGGGAGCTGAAACATACCTAATCATTTTATTATGGAGATTGAAGGTTGTGGTATTCAAGTTCTGTAGGGAGTTAAATAATATATCTCTACATTATTAATTTTGGTCTTAAATTATTATACAATATAAAATATTTCCATGTGGTCAGTTGCTTTATTTATATTTAATTACTTTCATATATGATCATGTATCCTGTCAAATAATATTGTAAATGAAGGAATATGATAAAATGGAATGAGTGAGAGCTATTATGCTGTTATTATAAAATTGAACAAGTTCAGTAATGCTGAATTAAAAGATGTGCATATAGGAATGGCAAACATGAATTTGGTTTTGTCAGCTAAGCATACTGTGTAGACTTGATTTTGCTGGCTTTATGCTGTGGTTGAGCTGTTGTCTTGGTTATGTAGTCAGTTCATACTTATGGTGTGTGCCATATATTGGCTTAGGTTTCGGGACACGAGTTCATCATGTGATGCCTCATCGAAGCGGTATGTGATAACAAACCCTCCAGATGACTTCTCATTGCTGCCAACAGATCAGGTGGGCTACTTTTTCAATTATCATTTTCATTCAATAACATTTTTTCTGTTGGTTGTTTTGTTGTTTAACAGTGCCTTCACAATATAGCTTGCCTTTGTTATATAGTGTCAGATGCCACAACTGATGAATTGGAAAGGATTTGGAAGGAAGGAATGGTAGCCTAATAAAGGTACTGCCCTTGCATTTACTAAAGGGACTGAGTAAAACCATGAAAAACCTCAGTCAGGATAGCCAATACCCCAGCTGAGACCCAAACTGAGTAACTCTTGAACACAAGTCTACAGCATTACTTCTGAATTGACCTGTTGAGTTCTTCCATGCTATATTGACTCCACACATTTACTGGTTTTCACCTGACAGGTTGAAGTTCACTGCATGCCAGTTCTTATCCTGTGAAGACACAGACTGTTGCAACTGTCTATGTGAAGATCGTTTTCTCCCACAGACATCACTCAAATGTGGAGAAATTTTAAGTGGAGCTTGTTGAAACACAAAAAAAATCAGATATACAGGTACTATTGATTGTCTTTCATTTGTCACCCTCTGCTTCAGTTTTTATTGTACAGTCAGAATTCAGTTTTCATGAAAAAATAACTGATGCCAGCAGGTAAAATCCCCAAATACAGCATCTTCTCTCTTTGCTTGTATTCTCCCATATGCATTCCTCCTTCCTGCCCTCACTTGATATCTGAAACTAGTTCGTCTCTTCATTACTTGTTTATTAGGAATCTTCTTCTGTTGTTGTCCATACTGCTGTACTTTTCATTTCACAGATTGTTGTTTCAGATGTTCTAATGTTGAACAAGTTGGCTCAAGAGATAGTATTTTTTATTTGTTTTTGGCAGGTGCCTGAACCAAGACACCAACTATCATGACTGAAGTTCATCGTGGTTTTCCTCAGTACCTGAAGGCATGTGTTGGGGGTAGTATCTGTAATTAGGCCAATTTGTCCCTTTCAATTCAGTGTTCACTTACCACCCTACCATTCAACATTATATGGTTGTTGATACTGATAGTGTTCTTAAATAAACAAACAAACAAACAAACAAACAAATTGATTTGTGTCATTTTGTTCTGTCACACTACTAATTACAGAGTGGATAATTTTCAGTCCAGTGTGACGTACTAGTTTACAACACTTCAGTCTTTTTCACCTTACATGTTTAGATTCAAAAGAATCATCCTCATAGGTGCACCACTACGATCAGGAAACACTGTCACATAAGGTGTTTTAACCATATGCACTTAAGCTATGAATAATGCTCACTATATAAATTTTGTTATTATCACGGTTGGTTTTGGTGTTTGTCCCAGGCATTCACGATGGCGCTTCTTGAAGAGTAGACTTACATATGATGCTGTTACTTTTAAGCATATTTGCTGGGTATTCTGACTGGGATTTTCCACTGCACACGATATGATATTCACTTTTTCATACATTAGCCTCCCAATGTATTTAAAATTTTCTTTTCGTGTAAGAAATATATTATTATGTTAAAATATCATGAGCCGACATTGGGTCATGTTGTTTTCCTCCTGATGGTGGGAGATGTTGTTTATTTCTCTTGATTTTATGTTCTTATTATTATTCGCGTAGTTTACGTGCGTGCTGTGTTGTTTGTACTGTACACATGACACAGCACGCACGTAAACTACATGTAAACTAATGTTTACAATATGTGTGCTAACCCCAGGCTCCAGTCAGATACCCAGCCACTGTTTACAAGTTTTACGCTAGTAGTACCCAACTACTATCTCACATCTGACCACTATCTACAAGTTCTGTGCCTGGCTGCTGGTTTGAGACCTGACTACTATTCACGAGGCCTGGTGCTGTTGTATCCTGGCCACTGTTTACAAGTCCTGTGCTAGTACCTGTTTGCTATTTGAAACACTACACTATTTCCATGTTCTGAAGTGCCAAACTAATATTTCAGACATGACCACTGTTTACCAGTTCTGTGGTAGTACTTGGCTATGATTCAGGCTCATGCTACTGTCTTAAACCTGGCATTTAATTGAACATTTATGGTACTTTGAATGTTAATTACAATTTATTCTTGTATGTAAATCACTCAACATGAGTCTGAGCATTGATTTTTGCAGGTGTTTGTCCTAATGCAGTTTGACCCAGGGCTGGAGTACAAACCCAACAGAGGAACACGAGGAAAAGATGACAATTCCTGACTATTGCTCTGTAGCGCCCTCACTGATGGGCCTTACTCCTACATCTAGGCCACCTGCTCAATGCCTAAGTTCAACTGTTGCCATCGAGTTGGTGAAGCATCTATCTCGCCATCGAGTTGGTCAAGCATCTGTCTTCATCAGGGAGGAAATTTTGCAAGCCACTTGAAATGATAATACCATCTAGCAGTCACGTGTTTACGTTCATTAGTTTTGCTGCAGTTTGTAGGGCTAGATCTCTCCTTTTTGTCTTTTCCAGAATCACTGTCAGCTATGGCACAACAGGAAACTGTCACCTTTGACCATGTGTCTAGTGAAATGGAGAATACCATTATTACACAGTTAGGTGTTTTGAATACAAAGCAAGATTAATCCTTACACTTATAGTGCTGTCCAGACAAGTTATAAATGAGTTCCACTTTATGCCTTCAGAACTACTGAAGCTTAGCTGGTTTTTGTTGTAGTGCATATGCTCAACTTCAGTTCTACCCAACAATGAACAATTAAAGTGACCACTGCTTGCATGAAAGCAGAGGTTAGTTTATTGTGATTAATATATCCAAAACCTACAAACTCCAAAGAAGTCTTCAATAAGAGTGACTTAAAATGTTGTCTCACTGTCAAAATCTGCATCTGTAAAAATAGGAACATGGTTCATAGTACAGATAACAGCAATCTAATTTGTTGTGTATAAATACGTCATATTATTTTTTGGAGTTTGTACACTTTTGGAACACTGGTGATGCTGTTGGGCATTGTATGTTGTGTTCATGAGATTACATTCAAGTGGGAATTTAAGACATTGCAAGCTCCTTTATGCAAGTGGAAGAAGAGGCAAAGACTGACTGCTGATGGCAGGATCCCATCACCAGGAGTATAGGCTTCTGTTGGGTCATGGGGGTTCCATCTAGTGACCCCCTCTGACCAGCATCTAATTTGGGGGTTGCTACTAAATAAAACCAAAAAGGAAAGACTCTTTACATAAATAAAGAGATTGCAACTGGACATTTTTTAAAACAAAACACCCAGTAGAATTATTGGACTTTACACTCATGACATTTTGTCTTTCCATTTTTGCAGTCCATTTCAGATGTATGACAAGGTGTTGCAGACATTGTGCTTGATTGAAATTCCTGTTAAAGAGAAGGAGGTTAATGTCGGAGTAGCAAAGTTTGTATCGTTGGAAAGTCAGTTCCATTCCTTCCTAATTTAATTTTGGTGCAGCATTTGTGATTTTATATATGTTCACCTGGTCATCTCAAATCTCATGTGCTTGCAGTGGTACAGACTGAAATGTTGTGTGTTGTTTCTCTATTACAAGAACTAATTTCTTTGTGCAATTCAGATATTCCTTTCTTCGGTAAAGCCAAGTAGTTTTGCTCTAAGACAAGATACAGTGTAGTTTGTTGGAAAATATTAAGCAAAACTGACTTTCCAGTAACAAACTTTATGGTGCCTGGTGATGCATAGGGGGAAGGGGGGTTGGCACCTGTACTTTATACACAGATATATGATCAGTGTGTGGTTTTGTTTGTTGGTTATACTATGCCTGAGTTGGTCCCAGACATAAACTCATGTATAGTGGCTGGTCCACTCAAAGAGAGAACTTGGAAAGTCGAGAAGCAATCTTGCTCTATTACAATCATATTGAATCTTTTGGAGGACAGAACTCTGTTTTTACCCCCCGATGTTCCAGAAGATTCTTTTGTTGGCTGCATTGATATCAGTGGTACAGTTGTTGTTTCCTATATTCTCACTGGTGTGCATGTGTGATTTTTATTCATACTTTTTTATTATTTTTTCACAATCCTTTTTAAAATGTATCATTAGCCTTCATGTTCTAAATATATGTGTCAGTTGGCTGAGGGGTTCACATTCTGCTGATTTTGAGGAAACAGAGCTTTCTGTTTCAGAGTCTTGTAAATGGTATTGTAGTTTAATAGAGATATGGGCTTTCTATCTTAATATTGTTAATCCTTTGTCGATATTATAGTCCACTAATTTGTTGCCCTGTTTTCCTTTTCACGTTCCTTATGTGAGAATTCTTTGTTTACACGTCAGTATGTGTGAAGGGGCCCTGAGCCATCTGTCACATGTTTGTAGAATGTGGCTTCCTTAGTCCACTTACATGTGGATGCAGTGTGGAATGTATCCTCATGCACAGTGAAAAGTGTGAGTTCATTTTTTTACACTTGCATGTGATTATCATCATTGTCAGAATTTGCAGCAATGGACATTGTCTTTTTTAAAGGAAGTACTAATGGAAGAAACGCAGAGGAAAGCGGAAACTTGTTGTAAACAATTATTAAGTCTCAAGTTAAAGGTACTTTTTGCATAAAATCACATTTCTTGCACCTTGATGTGCAGAAAAAATTAAACAATTTTTTTTCACCTGTGTGTCTTGTTCAATTGCAAGTCATTTTTTTAATATTATAAATTATTAATTCATGCGCATTCATTGGAAGTAAGGAAGAAAGACAAAAGCTAAAAAATAAATAAGTAAATAATAATAATAATAATAATATAATAACTGTTTTGTATATTTTTGTGCAAAGAAAGCTCAGAATATTTGTTATTGGAGTAATGTGACTACTCTTCATTGTTGACAGTTCTATTGGTCTAAAAGTTTCACTAGATTTTTATGAATCAACTCAATGCTAGTTCAAGTGCTGATAATACTCTAAAATAAGACTCCATATGGTGGTGCCACTATGTGGATTGTGTCACATGTATCACTGCACACATGCTGTAGAGTTGGCACCCATTCATCCCATCAGAAGCATTTTAATTGCATGGTAACTTGAAAACACCAGACAGATCTCATAATTTAGAGTTATATCAGTATTATATGGTCTTGGTTTTTCCAGTCAAGTTTTAATAACATTAAAATAATTTTAGCCTTTTATGTCAGGAATAATAATACAATGAACATTCCACCACAATCTCTTCCTTAGATGTTCTGTTGCATAAATAGCAGAAATTAATACATAAATAATAATATTAAATATCAGTGCTGAAATATTGTTTTTTTATAAACTTATATTTTTGTATCCTGATTTAATTCAGTAAATTATGTGGGATTTTAAAATGAATGAACATTATATAATTACATGTTTAACACTGTTCTTACATATTTGCTACACTTTAAGAGGAAGAAAACGGGGTTGAGTTTGACATTAATTCACTTTTGATTACAGTTACTGCATGAATAGATCTCATAACTGCAGTATAAATTGCAGATGTTTGAGTATATTAATGTAGTGATCATGTCAGAGTGAGAAACCTGTCTGGAATTTCAACACTGTTTTATCCTATATACAGAATGTTCCAGGAGGGAAGGTCAATCTAAGAAAAAAGTGTACAGGTACATGTGTCCTATTCTAAATGGTTTCCGAGATAGAACCATTTCACTGTACAGTTACAAAATTGTTGATATGAAAGAGATACTATGTACTGTTTCTAATACTGGTATTTATTGTTAAAGTGACAAAGTTGGTACAATTCACCTAGTATAATACATTTCTTGAAATTTCACCAACATCAATGTACTTTGCAACTTCTGTGAGGACATGGTGTGTTGCTCATCTGTACAATGTACAGTGTACTGTAAAGTGAAATAACTCTATCTCAGAAACAATTTGGAATAGGACATATGTACATACACATTTTTTTGCCTAGAATGACCGATACTATGACCTCCCAGAATACTGGCCTTTCCTTCTGGGACACCTTGTATATGTCAGATAACTTAATTGATAACAGAACTTTACATTGTCATATTCACTGAATTAAAGACAGAAAACTCATTTCACATTAAATTAAAAAGTACAGAGTCAAAAAACATATAATATTACATTTATTTTCCATTTGCACAACAATTATACAGATGTGAAGTTTGAGGTTCTCACAATGGTGAATATGAAGGTGATTGTGCCCTAGATAATGACACTGTGTAGTCTGGTAGACATATACCAATATTTCAGAAGAAAATTTCTACCACATTACCTGGCATTATGTCCCAGAAGGTAGTAATCCTCAATTATAGAGATTAATATAAGAAGTGAAATTTCAGCCAGAAATTGCCTTAATAGTGTTACTGTTCACCTAGTAACATTAACCAAACATTTATATAATTGTTGTAGAGATAGAAAACACACGTCATAATATAAAACAAATACACAATACAGTATAGAATGGAATGCTTCAGTACAGTCATATAACATATCAGTAATTCCATATGGTCATAATGTGACCCAATACAAAACCTAACAAGATAACCCATTAAGAAGTTAGATGTACACAACCTTAGTAGGCAATAGCAATAACAATAGAATACGCACTGCATAGTATAAAAGTAAAAAGTAAAGTTGTCCCTATGCTTAACTAATTAAGCACTATGACATGAAGGCATATTGGGGAGTGGATGTATAGATCCACATTTTCTTGACCTTGGTGTTAGCTGGAGGTGAGTGGTCAGCTTCACGCCCCAGCCACTTTGCTCCTGAGGAAACAGCCCACAGTACCCATTGGAAAGGAGGTTAGGTGGACCCCAAAACTTGTCCGGTCAACTTGGAGAAGAGAAAATTCTTGACCCTACTCAGATTTGAACTCCGACGCCTCAGTCATCCAGCTAGTTACTGGACTGACTAAGCTATAGTGTAATTAATTAAAATTTAATATATCATTTGGGCCTTATCATTAAGAGTTATAAGTTAGTCACAAATTTTAAAATAGTACAACTTCTGACTTCAATTCTTCATATGTTCCCATTCTCATTCCATTCATGTTGAGTTTAGTCATCATGAAATGTTAAAGACTCTGCATGATCTTTCAGTTAATGACTTTCTGACTTTACTTAATTCAAACATACTGTTGCTTTATTAAAATACAATAATTATTATAAACTGATATATATTCTAATATTTCTTTCTTTTGGTGAGCAATTAATGGTCATGACACTTACTAAACTTTTAAGAACTTATAAGTTTAAAAATATTCACTTGGACTTATATGTCTGCTTGTTATAGAATATTTAAGTGGTTAAGTAACAACATAACTATGCACTATCGGTGCCTACATTTTTTTTTTTTAATTTTGTAAACAAGACTAATTTTTGTAAGCAACAAGAAACTAGACAGAATTTGGTGGGCATGATGTTACAATTTGTGTAGTTGATGGTTGCCAGCTCCACAGTTAGTAGCCAGTTTTCTTCACAGCTTTAAAAAGAATTTAGCAAATTAAAGATTTCAGATTACTCCACATCATCTATAGTGGTGGTGAATGTGATGATTATTGGTTGCAAGTAGTGATTGCTGTATTTGCTGTAAAATTCAGACAAAAATGATGCCTGGACAAGGAATCAAAATGAGATATTTCATTTTAGAGCGGAGAAATTTATTTGTAATGTACTTGTTACATTACTGAAACCAACCCAGAAATGTCAGTACCAGGAGATTCCTTGTTTTAACATCAATTTGTCTTCTTAACTGCAGTAGGTATTATGACCCCTGTGGAGGTCACAAAAAAAAACCTATATGGGAGGGTGCAGAAAAAGAAATAAATTCATAGAAAAGAAGGCTTAAACAATGGAAGAGAAAGTACAATTATATAATATAATAAAAATTGTATATTTCATTATGTATGTTGACATCAGTTGTTGAATATTGTTAGCTATTTTTCATTAGTCATGAATTTTGCACCTGCCCAATGATGGGTCTTGTCAATGGCAAATAGTTGAGATAGGAGAATGATGAGGTTATGTAAATGTAAACTGATTATTGTGATATAATTGGCCAAAATGTTGAATATTAGCCCGTATCTTGCTCCTTTTTCTGGGGTATTTTGTTTATGATAAATATCTGAATTCACCTAATGGTCCTTTCATGTGTTCTACAGCTCAATACTACGAAATGTTTAGCTGCAGTTTAATATCAATTTGACAGAGTTTTATTTCAGTCCTAACCTTTCTATCTTCTGAGAAGATAAATTCCTTCATATACTTCAGAGTTAAATGCATAAGAGCAATAATTTCAGTTGAGCTATAACTTTTTCTTCAGTTATATTCGGTATGTAAATAGCTGCATTCATGAAATGTCACTTCAATTTGTTTCTTGTTATGACAAAAGATCCTGAAGTTAAACTTTGTCAGTGAAGACTGCAGCAGCATGGACAGCAGCATGTGATTTACCATTTCTCTGTCTCTCATGTAACAACAGAAGAGGACTATAAAACACTTGTTTGTTCAAACTTTTATCCTGACATTTAAACAGCACAATTACATTCCTTGCCTTGTATATTTAGACCTTTTCAAAATGAATTCAAAAGTATTCATTGATTTTCTTATGGCTGGATGTAATATTCATGTGCCATTAGCATCTGAACATTTTTCTGTCTTTTCAGTGATGTGAAAGTAGAGATATGATTACAGATACAACCTCTTTATTTACCATCACAACACAACAAATATCAAGATTAATGCCTAGTCTCCCTACAGAACGGACAATACTTTGTAAGATGAGGCACTGACTAAACAGTAAGTAATATATACAATATCTTCAATATCAAAATCAATTGTTGATTCTGACAAAATTTAATACTATTACTTTCATATCATTTTCAGATTAACATTAATTTACTACATCATGAGCCTCCTATACAATCTTATATACAAAAAAGAAAATAGAATATTCCAATTTGTCCATGGGAATGCAACGAAATTACAAAACCAACGACTGATTCGATGATATAAAACATCAATCTAAAAATGTTATTCTTGTTTTATACTATAACTTATGTTTTATATAATCTGATATATTGTATTTTTTACGTCAAGTGTTTTATATGATTAATAGTATTGTATCCAATTTTACTGGTACTGCAGTTCAGTGGTGTATATATGTTAATCATGTATTTGCCTGATGATGGCTACTGATAGCCGAAACATGTAGCAGAGCCGAAACTAGGCACTGATCTTGATATTTGTTGTGCTGTGACGGTTAATTAAGAGGTTGTATATTGTAACACAACAGGATGCATGAAATGAAAAATATGATTACAGAGGCTATGTAAAATCTGCTGTGAGCTGAAACATAGCTACAGTTAAGTTCCCTTTCCTGTTTTAGACTCTTCTTATAGTTTATAGTATAATATCTGACCATAGGTTGCTGTGACATGTAGGTCACACTCTTATTTTGTGATAAACATTTAATGTTTTTAATTTTTCACAAGAATTTGCAACACATCTAATATATAGTAGAAACTTCACCCCTGTTACTTGTAATCTGCCTATATTTCTGTTCCTTTCACTAAAGTAGGCAAATAGTCACATTTTCATTAACACTGAACTTTAGTCCAGTTCACTTCTTTTCATTTTATATGGCGCATTCATTTACTGCCACCTCCTTTCACATCAGCTCTCTTTCATTTACCCATATTAACTACACACAGCAGATATTAAAAATGCAGTTTTAAAAGGGAATGATATGAAAAACCAAAAAGATGCCTTTCACAAACAGGGTCATAAGTATGTAAATCATATAATACAGTGACTGAAATTCGTGCAGAATTTAAAGTGAAATGGTGATATGGAACTTATGGTATAAACAAGGAGGGATTATTATGGTTATGGTCTCCTGAGATGTGATGCCATATAGTTTGGTAGATAGTTACCAACGTTTAGGAGTGGTCTGATGCCTCCATCTTCACTTTTATACCATGAAGATGGAGGCATCAGACCACTCCTAAACGTTGGTACTTATCTACCTAGCCAGTAGCATTACATCCCAGGAGACAGCAGTCTTAATACTTATTCACTCTCACAAGAACCTCAGATATTGCAAAAGAAAGAAAATCCCCCCCACCTCCAAAAGGGGGCATATAAAATAAGACCTGAAAGTAGAAACACTACAGGAAAGCCTGGTGAATTTAAAGGTGCATGGGCTTGTGGATGACTATAAAATTCCTTTGATAGCATTAAGATGGGAATGAATGATCATTAGCAAGACCTAGAAGTAGGTGGATAGAAGAAGTTAGAAGGTACAAAAAGAGAGCAAGGGCAGAGTGGACAAAGAGTAGTGCTTAAATACAGGAATATTTCAGGAATCTTTATCATATGACAAATCTCCCACATGGAAATATCAATGGATGATGAAAGTATTTGAACAGCAGTGGTCATGATGAATTCCATCTTTTGGTATTTAACAGCATGTAGTCTTGTGGAAGTCAACTGATATTTTGGAGGAACAACTTCAGTTAAAAGCAGTCTTCTGGGATTTGGCACCGTGTATATGTGGTGTTAACCGACGTTTCGGAGGAACGTATCGCCTCCATCTTCAGGGTAGAAATTCTACCCTGAAGATGCTTTCTTCATAGTCACCGCCGTGAAAGCCTCAAATCTTACAACTTCAGTTAACTTTTGTAACCATACTGCCAACCTCAGCTTGATTTAATTTAGTATCATGTATTGATCCATGTTATTTACCATGTTTGATTAGGTTTACTTGTACATACAGTAAATGGACGAGGGTTACATAGGCTATTTCTTGCTCTCAAGAAGGAGGCTTAGCCCGACTCGAATGAAAAAAGAAAGAAAAAGGACTGGTTAACGCAGAAGCAAAGTGAAACAGGAAGGACCCCCAAAGCTTTTCTTAGAATTTTACTCGAAATATCGCTTATCGGAATCCTTTGAGAATACGATATGTGACAGTTTTTGAACATCGTAAATTTGAGAGTGGCGTTTCCTTAGACCCAAACCAAGGGTAGCATTTATCAAGCTACTGTCAAAAATTAAGTTAAGTCCTTAGAGCCCAAATTCCCTGGGATCCTTAAATAGATTGGATGAATAGTTAATGAAGTGTACTCCTATTTTTCAAAAGTGACCAATCCTCAAAATTTAGGGAGTTGGCTTGTGGGCTGACCCGAGGAAGTCAGTACTGCGAGTTTTGAGAAAAGTCATTCTGAGTTAATTGTTTTCCGACTCAAGAACCATCCGGACGCAAAATCTGCATCCGTCCGAAATTTGTTATAAATTATGTGAAATTTGTGGACTTACTACGCTTAAATTATTCTAAAGTATAACCTCTGTGTCATAAAGGGTGATTGAAATGGTAAATTAAGGTACAAGTTATGTGGAAGTTATAATATCAGAATTATATTTGAAACCCAGTAAACAGTTCAGTATTCAAACGACAATCAGTGTGATACTCAACTTAATAAGCAAGTGTAACCAAGTATTTCCAAGGCAGTCATCATCAACCTTGTAGGAATAAAGTATGTGTGTGTGTGTGTGTGTGTGTTATAACAGGAGTTTCCACTCCCCTTTCTGAGCAAGACCCTGCCAAACGACCTTGAGAACAGAATCTTAGCTCTACTGGAGAACT